GTTTGATAAAATAAATTGTGGAAACAATCGAATGAAACATTTGTCAATAAAAAATATTTTTCATAAAGAAAGGTAGTATTAATTAAAAAAAACTATTTTTACTTTTAATTGGTCTTTATGAATATTTTTGTTTATGATGGGGATAAAAAAGTCACTTTCAATTACATCTGTTAACAAACATTATTATTAACAAACTAGAAATTCTAATCAACTTCTATCTGAAAAATTGCAAATGTGAAAGGATTTAGACATTAAGTGTTTCATAGAGTACAATGTTAAGGATTTAGACATTAAGTGTTTCATAGAGTACAATGTTAATGATTTAGACATTAAGTGTTTCACAGAGTACAACGTTAAGGATTTAGACATTAAGTGTTTCACAGAGTACAACATTAAGGATTTAGACATTAAGTGTTTCATAGAGTACAATGTTAAGGATTTAGACATTAAGAGTGTTTCATAGAGTACAATGTTAAGGATTTAGACATTAAGAGTGTTTCATAGAGTACAACGTTAAGGATTTAGACATTAAGAGTGTTTCATAGAGTACAACGTTAAGGATTTAGACATTAAGAGTGTTTCATAGAGTACAATGTTAAGGATTTAGATATTAAGTGTTTCATAGAGTACAACGTTAAAGATTTAGACATCAAGAGTGTTTCATAGAGTACAATGTTAAGGATTTAGACATTAAGTGTTTCATAGAGTACAATGTTAAGAATTTAGACATTAAGAGTGTTTCATAGAGTACAATGTTAAGGATTTAGACATTAAGAGTGTTTCATAGAGTACAACGTTAAGGATTTAGACATTAAGAGTGTTTCATAGAGTACAATGTTAAGGATTTAGATATTAAGTGTTTCATAGAGTACAACGTTAAGGATTTAGACATCAAGAGTGTTTCATAGAGTACAATGTTAAGGATTTAGACATCAAGTGTTTCACAGAGTACAATGTTAAGGATTTAGACATTAAGAGTGTTTCATAGAGTACAATGTTAAGGATTTAGACATTAATGTTTCACAGAGTAGACTGTGAAAGGATTTACACATTAAAAATGTTTCATAAAGCACAATGTTAAGTGAACTGAGAGGTAACTCATACTGAGTAAAAAAAAAGTTTAGAAAAGTTTTTCAACAAAGCATTTATATGTTTTGTGACTGCAATGAAAGTTACCAGTTACAAAAAGTTCTGTAGCCCCAATGTGTTGCATTGCTAATAGTATAATAGGTAATTCAACTTCATACGACTTAATGTCATTCTTTTAGTTCCTTTAAAATCATTTTTTCAGTAAATTGTATTACAATCAGCTTATGTAAAACTATTAGTGACTAATGAGTTCACATTTAATGGAATTAATGAAATCTATTGCAGTAAAAGTTGAATGCACGTCATATGATGGGAAATTATGAATAATTTTTCTTCTCAAAATTATATCTAAATAAATGTTTTTTTATGAACATATTTTATAAAAATGAATTATATTCTAGTGACAATATATGTGTGTGGAGAGAGACTATCTTATTTCTAGTACTTCATGAAAACAAATTTTATGTATATTTGGTCATCTCCTTTATGTATTACTTGATTAGCATTTTGACTTCTGTATATGTTCAAATGTTCTTCTTGATAAGTCCTTATAGATTGAAACATGCAAAAAAAACTAATTCTCAAAGACATATTCCTACTTGGTCAACTGTATGACCCTGCAAATTATTAATTGTAATGATAAAGACAGTGAATTTTATTATGAATTTTGGGGTCTTCACTTTGGACTGTCTTCCTGATTTTGGCTTTATTAGCCTGCTTAGCTGAAGAAGTGCATTTTAATTGGGCATTTTCAAAACTGAAATGTGCTGCAGGTAAAAACGTGCAAGTTATTATAGAGTTGTAGCCAAGCGTTCTGACTGAACAAAATTTGGTGATGTTGCATCATTGTGTCTCCTTGACAACCAAGCAAACATAATGGGAATTTCAGCCAAAGATTATGATTTTTGTGTACCAGCAATACCAAATGTGGGATGCACTTATACCCGATTCAATTTTCTTGCTCAAATCGATTTCTACCAACCAACCTTCAAATCTAATTATATGCCCAAAGTAGCACATTACCCATTATATATATATATATATATATATATATAAGAAGAATTCTAAAAAGCCAAACTTACTTGTCATGACAAAAAGTGCTATAATTTTGTACAAGTTGCATGTTGATTGGTACTACAATGGCCAAGATATCTGCATGATAGGTGGACAGCTTTTCATTTTTATATAGTAGATTAAAAGTTTTAGTATCATAAACAATGTATATTATTTCTACTTGTTGTATGTAAAAAAAATATAAGATATTATTGTTGTTCTGATTAAAATGCCAATTTTTATAACTATATACCTACCTAATAACTGTAAATTAATTATAAAGTTAAACCCAACTTGCTATGTATGTTAAAAGCTGAATGAATGTAAAAAACACTGCAGTTATTAACCTTGACATAAAACTACTAAATACTACCTTATGACTTGCATATTACACAACCAGTTTCACTCTGTCTTTAAACACAGTGGTGATCTGAGCATAATTTCATGCTTAAAGAAAAATAGTTTTAAATACAAAATGCCTTTTAATTAAAAAAAAAGTGTAATTTTTAAGAAAATGAACTGCAAGTAATTTTTTTATTTCATCTGAAAATGTGTGTTTTATTATGAGGCAACATAAGCTTTATTTATCTAAAAATATGTGGAGCCTATGGATGTTTCAAGATAAAGTCTTGCACAGATGAAGTCGAATTTAAATTCAGACTTGCTCCACTTTGAGAGATATGTGGGGAAAAGAATGTAATCTGTTTCTTAGTACAGTTTTATAACATACTTTACAAGTGCTATATGTGTTATCATTTCCCACTCGTTGATCATAACTACAATTTTTTCATTACATTATAAATCTTAAAAAATGGGGTAATAAAAAAAGACTTCTTAGAACATCAACAAGTCAAGCATACTTCATCATTACAAGTATCTGAGATCATAATCATCCTCAGTGGCAGCTTGTCCTTAGGGGCAGTGCCCCTCCTGTAAAAACTAAACAGTTTTTTGTAAAGTCAACAGCACGTTTGATTTTGCTACTGCTAAGAACTCATATTTTATAATGATAATACAAAATCTTAATTATATAAACAGTATATACTGTTATGAGCTTATAGCACAATGTGTGCTATACCCCTGTTCATCTTATTATACTTCTGTGCTCAATGAAAATATAATATTTTAGTAAATACTGTTATGAGCTTATAGTACAATATGCAATATACTCCTGTTCATTGCATTATACTTCTGTGCTAAATGGAAATATAACATTTTTGATTACTTTACTGTAACTGGGGCAATTGAACGAGAGCCAGCAGTAAAAATATCTCAACTCTCAATAACATAAAAATAAATTAATTTCTAAAAATATACTTTAGATGTTATGCTTCTTAAACAAAAATAGTGGTTGAAAAATCTTAATCGCTAATTAACTTTGATTTAAAGAATAAAATAAAATATTAAATGGAAATTGAAATTCTTCAATTCTCAAAAACATCAAGTCACTAGCAGCACAGCACCACTGGCAGAGCTGCAAGCAAAGCAGGGAGACTGGGGCAAATGAAGGATAGCCCACTGGAGCAGCAATGCCAGGAAGTGCATTTCGTTTTTGTTTATAAGTTGAACACATACAGTGATTAGCATTTTCTGGCTGTTGTTGATAATCAAAAGATAAATCATTAAAGTATATTAAAAGTGACAGTGTAATTGTTTGACAAATATAAACGATCTAAAGCTAAAGTTTGTGTGCTACTGACCATGTCCGTTTGTGCAAAAGCTTATATTTATTTAGGCATTAGGCCTAGACCTACTAGCCCAAAGTTTTTAAATTAAAATTAAGAGATACAAATTAGCTTTGCCCTTGCCAAAATGAATACTGAAAATGGAGGAGAAGATAGTTAGGCCCATAACAACTAAGAGATTTCTTTATGAGCTCAAATAATAAAGGTGGAAAAAGATTATTTGCTCTTCACTGGTTCAATAAAAAGCCATGGCTTACCTAAGTGAAGAAAAAAAAGACTATTTTGCTTTTACTACTTGCTTTTTGGAGGCAAGAGCTTATAGACAAAGACTGGCTGCTCACGTCTCAAACTTTTTCAGAGAGAGAATCTGCAATCATGAAAAGAGCTTAAAGCATACTGATAACTTAGCTTTTATAAAATGTTTGGTTCAGTGAATATTTTGGCTCAATTAGATTCAGCCAGTTGTGTGTCAGTCCAAAACCACAATGAAGTAATAGACAAAAATGAGCCCATATTAAAAAATATCATTGAAACAATACTATTTTGTGGGACACACGAAACTGCATTACAAGGGCATGATGAATCAGAAGCATCAAATAATCATGGAATATTTTTAGACTCATTGGAGGAAAAGGCTCAGCTAGACAGCCTTTTAGACACCACTTGAAAAAATATTTTTATTGAGAAAACCACATCAAAGACCATCCAAAATGAGCTACTAGATTGCATGCTTAATGTCTAACAAAATGAAATTAAGGAAGAAATTTCTAATGTAAGTTATGTATCTGTTCAAGCAGATGAAACAACTGACATTTCATGTAGGTCCGAGTTTGTAGTTATTTTGCAGTATGTAAAAGACAGCCAACCGTTTGAAAGATTCACCTCATTTGTTGAAATTAGTGACAGTACTGCAACTGGATTCTGCACTGTTCTGTACAAGCATTTGCAGCAGTATAAAATCGAAGGAAAGCTCATTGGTCAAGGGTACGATGGTGTGGCTACTATGAGTAGAGTAGTGCAAACTCTTATGAAAGAACATTATCTTAAAGCAGATTCTTTGTAAAGCAGAGATTATTGCATCTATATCACTGTTGTTTGTATGAACTGAAAGAAAATGTTTCAAAAAAAAAAGTCATTAATTATGATTTACAAAATCTTTCATTCCTCAGGATCTCTGCATATGGAGTCTTTATTATTTAAACACACACACGTGTTTTTTCTGTACAATTATCATCACTTCAACATGTATCACTTGAAACATATTCTTGCACAAATACAAGATCTCCCAAGAAAATTATTTACAAAATCGTATGTACTTGCTCTGCCGGTACTTCCTGTACCTTACCTCTAACTGAGATTTGTTTTAAACTAACCCTTTTTTTTTGCTTAGTATAACAGCTAGGAATGTCTCTCATGCTCAAACCATTAGTAACTTAAACTTTAAGCTCTCTGAAAATCCATTTCTGCCCATTATTTACTTGATTACATTCCTGCAGATGAAGCTGGCTCCTCTCTTGCGTTAGGTGGAGACACTTTCGATGAAGTCGATGGTAAAACATCTTAGTATTCTGCATGTTATGATAAAAAGATTGTCACAATCCAGAAAGTAAAAATAAATTCCAAATTACAGTTAAATTAGACATCAAAATAATCAGTAATGTTTTAATAACTATTAATTGTGACTTATACTTATGAAAGAATTAGATAACCAATTTCATATATTTTTAATTTTTCCTATTTTTCCTTCCATCAATTCCAAAGTGCCAAATATACAATACAAAGGCATTTTCCATACAATTTGAAATTTTACTACTATATTCCATAAGCATAAATTTAGTAACTAAATAAGAAGTAATGAAAAATGAGCTATGGGAATAGATTGAGTAGTATTACGAATGAAACAAAACATGTGTCAACTCATTAATCATGAGCCAATCCTACAATGACAGGCCCTTTGATGAATCTAAACAGTAAATTTCAGTATTACAGTGTTTACTCTTGCATTATACACATTTGATATAAAGGATGGGCTTGACTTAACTTTGTTAACATAATATCTCATGCTTTTGCACAAGAGATCAAATTATCCCAAAATTTCAAAAAGTTTGCATAGTCTCACAAGATTGTACTTAAATATAGGTTAAATAGCGTATAGTAAATAGAATCCAATTTCTATCAAAAACCGAAAGACTTTAGGCTATAAATATATATAATATTAAGTCTGATCTAACGATTTCTTTTCCAGTTTTGATATCTGTTAAATGGAAACAGATGTGTAAGAAATGGAATTATAAAGCAACATTTTTTAAAAGTACTTTTACAAAGTTGTATGCATGGTACCTTAGAGGTGGAAGTTAATCTTTTCCATGGGACATTTATTTCTCATACTATAGTTTTAATCCAAACCTGAAAGGAAACATCTTAAACATATCTTTATTAACATTATTTCATTTCAGTACAAATAGTACTTTAAATTAGTAATGTTGCAGCAGTAGTTATGAGCCCTCAATCTACTGCTCCTCACCAATAGTGTGAACTACTAGGAAATATCATTTGACTTTTCATTTTAACAAAAAAAGCCTTTATTCTGATAAAATTGTCCTATTAAGAACAATTTTTTTAGACATGCTTTGTCATGATAAAAACAAAATCTTATTACAAAAATATCTGTAGTTTTAAGCAATTAGCTTCAACACATTTCTGAAATCATTCCTATGCACAATCTACACCTATGGGGCCAAAAAGTATTTTCAACAGTAAATCCTCTAAAACCTGTGTTTTCTAAATGCTTTTTCATACAGAAACAAATCATGGGTGACATATACAGTTTTGATATGTGGTAATTTCTTAGCCAAGAATACAGCATATATTTTCAATGAACGAAGATCCTGTATCAATGCTCTGCTATAAATTTAAAAAACATTAATGACTAGACAAATTGTTTATTCCATTGCTTATTTCACTATACACACAAAGGTAATAAATGTTACTCATTACTGAATATTGTGTCACAGATTGTTACTGACTTCCATTAAAGTGCTAATGTTTTATCAATAAAGTACATGAAAAATACACAAGTTAAACTTATAATCTTGTTAATGTGGTCACTTTTATTGGGCTGTTTAAGATCTAAGAATGACAATACCATGTTTCTAATGTATTAAAAATAAAAAACTCAGAAAAATTGAATGCAAATAAAAAAAGTTACATTTCTTAAAACAATTAATTATATAACTCTTGCTTACATCATTGTACTGCCAAGGACCATCAACTGTCCCTAAACGGCAGAAGACAAGTTTGATGTGATGTGTATCGCCATCAATACATCTCTCTCCAACCCCAAGCTGGCCTTCTTCATTTAGTCTGAATATCTAGTGGTATACAATGTTATGTTTAATTAGATAAACAGAATCTTAAATGTCAGATATAAATTTCAACATTTTGAAAAAAGTAAGTAGATAAGAACAGACAGAGGTCTGTTTCTTTATCATGTGTAACATTGTCAGTAAAAATTTGCTATAGTCATTATACTAAGATGAATTATTAATGAAACATCAATAAAAGCTACAATTTGAAGTCTTATCTGAATATAGATCATATTGCTTAAGAAACTAATATGTATTACAGATTTCTGTTAATACACAGTTAAAGAAATGTGTCATGGTTGTGAAAAACTACATACATCAAAGTACAGGATTTACATGTAATGTCAAAAAGTCAGATACTACTTACAAGAAATAATGATTTTTAAGGACATGAGAAGTGCTTTCTGCTTGTAATTACAAGCTACTATTGATGACAGACTATTATTCTAAGAAATGACACAATGAACTTCTATTTTTGAATTTAGAGGTTTAAAAAAAACCTGAAATTTTGGAATTGAATAAATAAAGGCCATAACAATACCTTAATAAGTACGGATAGGAGCATGCCTTCAAAAATTCACAAGTTTATGCATATTTGCATATTCTAGAGGCCTACTTTTTCACAACTTTTCAGAAACATTGAGTGCATTTACTTCTTTGTTTTTACATATATGTATATACTAAATGCCAAATAAAAAAAATGTCATTGTTTACAAATAACTTGCTTTCACATTTTATACATTTATATAGCAACTAAACATCTCAAAGCTTTTGGTTCTTAGCGATCAGTGTACATACATAACACAAACATTTCTGCTGTTTTTTGTTTATTTTACTGTAGATACATATATTACATACTTTAACTAATAAATAACATCTACAAATTACATGTGTATATATGTACTTTTCACTCACTTATAAATAGCTACAACAAGAGAAATAAAAATAGTGTGACATTTTCTTTTTAATATTATATCAGCTGTAATCACTGTTAATGTAGGACACTCTCTCTTCTGGCCATATCTCAAATTACAAGTCTCTAATGAACACATTTTCAGTCATTAGTTTATATACACAAATAATAAAAGAACTGTAACATAGTAACAAACAGTTTTTTAAATTAAATAAATAGAAAGTGCTTAATGTTGATCTACTCAGGTTAAACTATAAATCAAAGAGGGAATTTACCATAATAATGGTACTTGAACATAAAAGTAGGTGATTTTTGTTTTACCTGATTTTAATGCCTATTTCTAATAAATCAAACGAGTGCTTTAGGAATAGTGAATAAATTATTTTTCATCAATACTAATTATTCCTTTTTAACTTTCTAAAGACTGATTATTCTACGTAAAATCATATTATAATGTCATTCACATATGATTTTTCAGCTTTGGTTTGTTTGTTTTGAATTTCGCACAAAGCTACATGAGGGCTACCTGCGCTAGCTGTCCCTAATTTAGCAATGAAAGACTAGAGAGAAGGCAGCTAGTCATCACCACCCACCACCAACTCTTGGGCTACTCTTTTACCAATGAATAGTGGGATTGACCATCACATTAAAAGGCCCCATGGCTAAAATGGTAAGCATGTTTGGTGGGACCAGCATTCAAACCTGAGACCCTCGGATTGGGAGTCAAGCTCCCTAACCACCTGGCCATGTCGGGCCAATGTTTTCAGAGTATATTATTTGATTAAACAGTAAAAGTGGCAAACTGTTCTATGTTTGAACTGAGAAGCCTCTGAACCCATAAATATAAGATTATTGACTAGATTTATTGGTTTCAACGTCTGAAATAAAGCATTGACCAGGCCTTCAAAACTTGTAGGTGTTAATCTTCAATTCTTCAAATAGGCTTATATTGTATCAATGTTTGTCTAGTATTTATTTGGAAAGGTATTCACTTTAGTTTAAAAAAATGCAATATTTTTGTTATATAATGTTTCAATTTGTTTTAAATAAACCAAGAGAACACATAATTTCCATAATATACAGTATAGTCATTACACCAAATAAATTCCCTCATATTAAATCCCATCAGACCAATTACTTGTGTAGTTATTTAAAAATTGTAGAATGAATGGCTAAAATGAAAAATAACTAGTGTTCCTTGAGCTACAAAACTTCAAGTTAGCAGGGCCTATCATAGAAAATACGAGCCCCCTCTCATATTCTTTTTATTAGCCAAAGTTTTGGCACAATGCTACTTTCTTTCAAGTTTACTTTTCAAATCTAATACTACTGTTTTTACCTATTCCTTTATCCCACCCCACCCTTGTCCCTATCCCACTATCATTAGTATTTAAAGTTGGCATAATCCAAAGGGTATGAAAACAATTTTGATAAGAATTGTATCATTGAAATATATATTATTAAGCTGTAAAACATCACTTTGAGAAACAGTTTAGGATGATCAATTCTTTGAGCCCTGTAATGCATGATGCAATATTTCCTTAAATTACTGTCAGATGTAATGAAATGCACAATTTTTTCAATCAGGTTTAAAATACTACCAAAGTATGTGTGTGTGTGTGTGTGTTGCTCCCTCTGTTTCCTTTTTCTTTCCCTCTTCCTCCCTTCCCTTCCCAGACGATAGTGCTTTGGCATTGGGACTCTCTACCTCCTCTGACAAGCCTTATCTGTTAGAAGCTAGAGCATAGGAGATACTAGAAGTTATGTTGTAGTCCCCTATAGCATGACATTATATCACACAGTGATACTTAGATTTAGTGCAAAGTTTAAAACTCTTTTTTGACAATATCTTGGTTTAAAATAGAGATGAGAGAATAAAAGTTAACATTTTCCTAAACTGAAAATGTATTCTTGACAGATACCTCTTCTCACAAAAAGCTTTCTTGACTTGTAGTGCCTTCTATCGTCACAAATATTCACTCACCACTAGCCTTGTTACTTCTATTACTGCATACTAACATGCAAATGATCATGCAGCAATCCTCCACCAATACGAGTGTGACAATACCCCTATCGTAACTAGCACCCTCTCTAATCATGAACATGTTAACCACTTTGAGATTGGTCATAACTAATCAAACAAATTCACATCAGAAGTGGGGAGGATGGGTGGGAAATGTGATAAGAGGTACGTATCTATCAGAAATACATTTTCAGTTCAGGAAAATATTAACTTCTGATACAATATCTTACCTCCACTCACAAAAAGCTAGAATCTCACATTGAACTGTTGGAGGGCCAGTGAAAGGATGATCTCCCTTTATGGAGACCACACTACTTCTGAGCAAGGTGTACTCTTCGCCCTTGAGTAATGTGTCACCAAAACGTAAAGGGTGGGAACTTGGAGGGGTTCCAAAAAATAGAAAAATACTGAAATCCCCTGGTGTAGAGTGGCTAGGGCATGACAGACTGTAAATGGGAATTAAACCTCAACCAACACCTGGTGGTATCAGAAATTGTACATCAGGTCCGTAGTAGGAAGAAGGTCCTCTACCTTTAACCTCAAAAATGGGTACCGGCAGGGAAGAGAAGATTCCATACCAAGAACCCGTCTCCACGTGTGCACACCTCCAACACCAAATCCACTGGGAACCAACATCCAGCAGATGGTAGGAAGGAGGAGAGCCCAGTTGGGTGTTCATCTCCGGTCCAAAACCTGGCAGCTTTGGGAATTTGGTCATCCAGTTCACAATATGAAGGAGGTACCCAGCCTTACACCAGGGGGAAATCATGTATCTCATCCAGCTACAACCAACACCAGATCCACTGGCAACTGACATTCAGTGGATGGTAGGAGGAGAGACAGCAATTCTGAGGTTGCATCTCCAGTCCAAAACTGGTGGCATTGAGAATTTATTGTCCAGTCCCTGATATGAGGAGAGTACCAGCCAAACACATGAGGACTTATGTAGCTGGACTGTCTCTGACCAACACCAGATCCCCGGTAATCGACATCCAGTGGATGGTAGGAAGGAGGAATATCTCAGCCAGAGGGGCAAACTGCATTGTCTGTAAATCTTTCATTTATATATATATATGACATAGTGCACCTGGCATCATCTGGAATTGTACATCAGATCTACTGAAGGAAGGGCATCAAATCATTGACACCCAAAGAATTCCACCATCCTACTCTCAAACTGAGTGGTATTGTGCACACTCAGGAGGACAGACCTCCATGGTCCACCACCCCAGTGGCAAGGACTCACACACTCTACTAGAAAGAGGAGGGAAATAATGCATTGGAGAGTCTGGAGGACCACAGCACTGGAGACAGTGCAATGGGTGAACATGATACCCCATATTGAAAAGCAGAACCACCACACTGGTGGAATGCATCCTCCAACACCTGGTGCATCTGTAATTGTACATCAGATCTGCAGTAGGATAAGTGTCAAATTTCACACATCATAAGAGAGGGGCAACGATCCCTGTCTACTTTATTCATGTTAGTCCATAAGTGTATGGTCTGGGACAAGCATATTTATGAAGCAAAAGACCGTGAGGTATACCTATGAGTGGTCCAGCAGAACACCTCCCTCTCAATGGTGGGCAGAAAATGACCTTGTGACATGTTATTTTGTCTCTTTTGTACAAGTTGAGAAAGTTTTTTGTGAACGGACATATGATATGGTATCGGAAATACAAGTTTATTAGTAGTCTATATGCATACTTTTAAACTTTGGATGTGATAATAATATACAATGTTTGATAAATCATCACTTACCTTATTGCTTCTTGAGCTATGGCAATGACTCATGCTCACAACAGATGGAGGTTGTGAACTCATGGGATCTAAACATTGGCTTGTCAACATACTTCGGACCTATAAAAGAAATTTCTATATATTCTTCTTCTCCCAACAGTTCTAAATCATATCAACAATTTTACCTAAATGTTATTCATACTAAAGAAAAATTTGTACTTGATAATATAATCATTTTTCTGTGTTAATCTACTGTTAAAATTTAACTTTTAATTGAAAAAGCAGAAAAGTCAGAAATGACTACAGGAACAAGACTTGAACCCAGGACCTCTAGGCCAGCATTATACCACTAAACTATCCAAGAGTATAAGTCCTCCAATCAGTGTTCACTTATAATGCTTGCTTATTATAAATATGATCACCATACTATGTTACTATAGGTACAAATACCAAATCATAAAAAGTCCAATGTAAAAAATTATTAAAGATTACTGATATCCAAGTCAAGTGTTTATAATGAAGATATATGTGTTTGTCTTCTTTCTTCTAATCACTCCAAAAGTAATAAAAATCTTATTTCATTAGAGTCAGGTTGCCTAGTGGTTTATAACTCAGGCTGCTGCAAAATCTGTTCTGCACCTTTAATTGTGTGCATGTTAAAAAAGGTGAGTGTCAATCCCATTAATAAGTTAAGCAAAGCAGTGTAGGTAGTGGATGCTGCTGACTGGCTTCCCTTACACCCTTACTCTGATCTACAGTTCCAAATTAGGGATGGCAATACCTGAATTTAAGGGTATCTCATCTGACTGTTTAGCCCAGGTGTTGCATAAGATGCTGTTCAGGTTGAAAATACCTGATTAAAAACAATAACATAACCTATTACCAAATTCAAGTTTAGTTTTATAAAAGCAGCTTTACAATTTACTAGATTAAAACTATGAGAATAGAAATTCTTAGTTTTTAAAGTTCAACCATAGGATGTTTTTAAGAGAATCAAGTAATTTTCTACTAATACTTTAAGTTATCTATTTTACTATATTTACAATAGTTTATTTTTACATTAACTACTCATGTGAGATACCAGTAATGGTTTTTGTTTGAAGCAAGTTTTTACTAATTACAGCAGCTACATATGCACAAAATAAGTAGCCTTTGAGCAGGGTTGAATATGTAAACATTTTGCCACAAGACTGGAGGAAGTGTATCTGTGGTTAAATGATACTAAACCTCTGTGTTGACTGAAAAGTTAAAAAAAAAAAGGTTTAGAAGGAGATTAAATAATGATGCAATATACTTTATATATATATTGCAAATCATGTCTGAGTGTTCGTATGTCTCGTGTTTGAAAAGCTGTGCACACAGGCAAAGCTTAACATTAACTTTTGAAATGACATTTCAAAATGTGATGTAACTTATTGAATAAAAATGTAGGTTTACTGTATGTTATTGTTTAGCAGCTCTTAGCATGACTGAAATCCTCAACAATTACTTTTCACAGTCAGTGGTATAAGTAGCTCAGAGATTTGGCTCTGAGTGAAACCAAGAGTGCAACACAATTTATGTTTTAAATTAGGAAATAAATATAAATTATGACTCTTTCATTCTAGAATGAACACATATTATAACACAAAAACAAATGTTTAGACTAAATAGTTTAAATCTCATAACATTATCCATTTATATATTTATCATTTTATTATATTGACTTTGAGCCATGCCTGGCTAACAATACAGAAGTTACAATGACACGACTCGTGTGCTCTCATGTTACCGTATCAATTAACTTGTTTTGGCTGTGTTTTAGTAGACTAGTATTTTGTAAAATACAGTCGAATTTCAATTATTATACATTATATATGTACATAGATTATTGCTATTTGGAAATAAGTTCTTAAACTTATTTTTCTTAAAACATAGAACAGTAGGAAAAGAAGTAAAGCAAACAATTATTTCTTCTTTTACGACCATTGTACTCGGTTGCTGTTTAACGTAGGTTGCTAAGCGTTTAAAAATTTTGCACATGGAGGATATGAAACAAAATAATTCTAAGGTTTTTATATATACATTTGAATAACTAAAAGATCATAAATTACTACATCAATACCATAGAATTCCACCATAATTTATCAAGCTTAGTAACTAAGATGTATTTTAGTCTAAAAAATATGAAATTTGGAGAACACTAAAGACACAACCTACCTCCTTGAAATATTAATTCAAAAGAAAGAAATGGCATCCTAAGAATTCAAAATGGCTGAGAAAGCCACTAGGGGGACATTCTGAGCTTCCAATTGGTTATACATGTCATATATATATATATAAGTTAGTGTATATAAGTGTTTCTAAAAATGGAAAGAGGTGGGCAGAGTGCCAAGGTGTTTGATTTATTACATGAACAATATCTTAGCAAATAGAAAGGATAAGACCTTATTATTTTATATTCTAGCTTGTCAATGTCAGTAAGTTTAGTTTCTAATTTGTACAAAAGTACAGACTTAGTGTCTTGACTTCACAAACATCTAATCTGAACCAGTGCTGCATTCAACATACCATGTGACACACAAAAATCCATGTTTATCTGTGTTTTTTAATATTTACTTATCAATTAAGAAATTGGGTAATGTATAATACTAAAATCTGAACTATAATCTACAGTTTGATACCAAAACTTATTGACATAAATTCATGAAATAGTAGTTCAATAAAATTTTGAATACGAGTCTGCAAATGAGATGACATGGCCTTTCACCTGTGACCCGTCTCTAAAAGGTTAAGGGATAGGTGAAACAAAGAGCATGAGGCAATGGGCTCAAATGGAGTTAAAGTAAGGGAATGTAGTACCACGGTAATGTCCCAATCTAGAAGTACCGGACACCTAGAGGGTCTGTGGATCCAGAATAAAAGGATCAAAATGGTAAGGGCAGGAGAAAGAAAGACCCTGCAGTAACGAGAAAAATGGAAAGTATGGGATAGGGTTGCTCGATAACCCAATATCAAGGAGATCAAAGATCCCTTCTCACAAAACCACATAAGAAACTCAGAGATACCAGCAACCGTAGGACAAGAAGCTAGGATACCCCGAGCCAGGGACCAGGTGCAAAAAACATTCCATTTCCACTGATACACAGCCATGGATGAAGGAGAACAGTACAAGCTAAATGAGATGCCACTCAACGTGAGAAATCAGATCTCCTTGCTAGGGACTGGACAAAAGCCAGACGTGAAGTGTAGGATACAGAACTAGGGACTGGGGTTGACGAAGAAGTTCAGGGAATAAAGGAAGAGGGATGGGGTGAGCAACTGTAGCAGGAGTAATCAAAGAAACTACAGTGGATTGGGCCAGTAAGGAGCAATCAGAAGGACTTTGCATGGAGTGGTATGGATGAAGTAATCAGATAGGAGAGTAAACATAAAGGAACTTGTGTGACCAATCCTGGCTGAAGGAATCTGTAGCCAAAGATCGAGGATGGGGAACCGGGTGATTGAGGGTGGTGGCAAATGCATCAATATGAGGAATACCCCACCAATCAAAAAGCCACCAAAAAACAAAGGGATAAAGGGACTACTTCATCGGGTAAACCTGGTCGGGTCGGGAAAGACGATCCACCACAAGGTTTAAAGCACCTGATATGTTACACGCCATCAAATGAATGTGATGATCATGGGCCCAAAAGAGAAGATCTAATGTTAGAAACCACAGGGATCTCGACCGGGTGCCACGTTGGTGATTCATATTAACTACCACTGTTGAATTCTCAGAAAGGATCATGACCAGACAATCTCTGGAGATGTATGAGCTTTATCCAACCACCATCAGAGATCTTCCACAATGTAGGAAGGAAGGAAAGGTTATAGGAGTATCCAGGTGATCCCGAGCAAGGTTCTATTGGTTGTGGAGTACCCACTGAAAGGATCGTACATGAGCCTAGCCAAGGGGTATGAGAGGAGTCATAGAAGACTACATCCCCAAAAGCAATAGAACCTTGTGAGTATAAAGTGAAAGAGGAGACAGGGCATTTTGAATGACCAGTTCCACAGAACAGAGTCAGAGAGGAGAAGGTTGCCCTGACTGAGAAGGGTGTTGAAGAAAACACCCAGATGAACGAGGTACTGGGTAGGATGAAGGAAGGACTTCTCCAATTTGATCAACCAGCCCATCCAAGCAGCTTCAAGGAGGAGCTGACGAATATAACAGGCTAACTCTAGTTCAGAATGAGTGAGAAGAATCTAGTCTTCCAAGTAAAAGTGAAAGTGCAACCTCAGGGCATGAAGATGTAGAGCGAAGGTTTGTACCACCTGACAGAAAACTTAAGAGGCCGAAGCCAGCCTGAAGGATAGGACGCGAAATTGGTACACCACCCCATGATGGAGAAACCGAAGATAAGGATGTAAACACCCTGATATGGGAATATGCAGATAAGCATTGGAGACGTCCATCTTGGTTATCCAGAGACTCAGAGAAAGAGCCCACCGAAGAGTAGTAGGATTCCATGGTGAAGCGTGGGGTGTGAACATACTGATTGAGACACACGATGATTTGCATGAGAGACATGTTGGAATCTTTGGTTCCAATAGGGGGGGTACGAAAGGTTAGTGGCATGCGTTATAAAAACATTTGCATATAGAATGCAGCACAAAATGGGAAAAGCTAATCTTTTGAGAAGAGGGAAACACCATATCCGAATAATCTAAACCTATTCTTGCTAAAGTTTTTGGGCAACAATTTGATTTGTAACCTCCTATATAAAAGTAAGTAATTTCATCCACAAAAATTTCTAGAAAACTACTAGAACTCATATATTACATTACATGTTAAAAAGTAATAATTTCCTTATTTGTGTAACACATTCCATACCTGAAAGTAATACTTAATCATATAACACATTCTATACTATAAAATAAAACTTACCTCACATGTTTAACATATTCTATAATATAATATAAAATTTATCTCACTTGTCTAACACCTTCCACACTAGAAAGTAAAATGTGCCTTAATTGGTATAACAGATTATATACTAGATGGTAAAACTTACCCCACTTGTATAGCACATTCCATACTAGATAGTAACATTTACCCAATTTGTATAACAAATACAAAAGTAAAACTCACCTCACCCCAGTGCAAATTTTTTGGCAACAAGGGAAACTTGTATAACACATCATAAGCAACATTCTTCATATACCACTTGAAGTCTTTACACTGTAACTGCTTACGAAGAGCAATTTGTTCAGACAAGTCACCAGCATCATACTGACGTGCCATTGGTACCCGAGTGTAGAAATACTCCTTATATTCATCCATCCACACTTCAACAACCCTTTTATAATTCTGTGTAAAAACAAGTTCATCCAGAAATATGAAAGATAAAATGTTACTAAAAAAGTAATAGACTAAAATATAAACACACAGACACACACATATTACAAGTGAACAAAACACCAAAAAAAAAAGGAGAAAAAAAGAAAATCTAACTTTTGGTGTGAACTAAACTCCAGACATGTTATACTTTTTTCATCAGTGTTCCAGCAATGTTCTTCTTGGTTTCAGTTTGTATAAAGAGAATTTTGAAATATCTTGGGGGAAAAAAATAATAAAGTTACTTTACAGTTGGTACATAAGAAGACAGACAAAACTTACTAATGTAACAATTGGACCTTTTCGATTCTGACCAAGTTTTCCAAAGGTATAAGGCATAAACCCACGATATATATGGCCCACTCTTGAGCATGGTACCCATACGATGCTCCCTCCACATTGCCAGATCTGGAATTTAGTGAGTTTTCATTCAGTCAAATGATTTCATAGACAAAATCATATATTTTCAATTGCAATTCATCCCAAGTCTCAAAGCAATAAAAATTAGATCTGACTCTGATTAATATTCATTATTATCTCTGTATCTCAAAATATTTTTCTCAGAACTGAGTTAATAAGTACACATGCAACAATATGACATGTACATATAGTACTAGCTGTATCAATTCAATATATATATATATATATATATATATATATTTATATATATATCAAATTTTGAAGTCTTGTGAAAACAATTCAAAAATAAGAGTATTATAATCAAAATTCTAGATAATAAGGTACATACAAAATGTTTCTACAAACCTTAAAAGACAGTTCAAAGTTCTCTCCTCCCCACACTAACAACCCAGGATCGTAAGCTCCAATCTTTAGAAAATATTCTCTGTTGATGGCAAATAACCCTCCTGCATGAGTTGGAGATCTGCATAATACAATCAATACATACCCCTCCCAATTAACTATTAATTTATTGAAAGTAATTATTTAAGGTAATGCGGTCCATAATTTTTTGTCAAATGTTCCAATATCATGTTTATCCAAAACATTTTAAGAGTTGATTTATTAAATATTTTAAGAATAAAAAATAATCTGGATCTTAGCAGTTGAGAAATTATGATGATGTATTAGGCATACAAAACATCATACCAACCAACAGAGCTAAGCAATTAACTTGTTTAATCAATTACCTACAAGATTGATTACATTGATTAGTGTCATGTAAAATAACTGATTAATAGATATTAGGATTAAATCAACTGCCATCACGAAAATAACCATCTAATCAAAATTAGTGTTTCCAATTATTACTGTTTTTCAATACTTAAGCTATCCAAGTAATCGAAAAATTTCCAGTATGATTTCTCATTATTATTTTCAATTAATTCAATTTTGTTCAACTTAATCGATTAGTATACAACTCATGAAAATAATTCACTGATTGAAATTACTAATATTTTCAATTTTCCAACTACCTAAGTATCATGTGAGAATAATAGATTTGTTGAATGTAACCGATTAATGTGCCTAATGATTAATCAATCATAAAATCCATTAATTGCCCAACTCTACCAACCAGTTATCCTACTCAGAAACTTGCAATTCCTTTAAAACTGTGTAATCAAACAGATGTTTACTGATTAATCTTTAGTTTTTACATTGATGTGCTTTATTATTTCCTCAAATGCTGAATCTCTTCTAAAAACTCAGTAAATGAGTACTTCCTCAGACTCAAAGATCTGTGCAGTATTAAAACATTTCTTAAAAACAAAAAGGAAAATACAAATAGTGATGTAATGTCATTTGTAATATTTCTCAAGTAGTGAGCAAATACCATACATATTAAAATATCTGAAGCTATATATTCTTAAAAGTGAAATTAACACCAATAATTATATGTATAAATAAAAAAATTCAGTGAACTTTTAAAACAGAATTCAAAATGACATTAAAAATTACTAGCACTGTAGTTCAAGTGGATTTAGAAAAAACACACAAAAGTCCAGTGAACTAACCTACTGCACACAGTTATTTTAATGCAACAAATTCCATTCAATTTACATTAATTTGACTTACTTCTTCTTTACGAAACTGTGTAAGCATATTGAAATTAATTTTAATACCTAAAGGAGAAAAATAAAAACAAGTAGCAAACAAGTGTCCTTAGTTTTAGTGAATATATATTATGGTCAAACAATCAAGCAAAAAAAAAGCAACTTAATCTTAAATGTTTCCATGGATTTCCAAAGTACAAACCAGTGTTCTATACAGATACAATAATTGTCATCATAAACTGTATTTTGACTAATAAGAAGGTTTCACTTAAACATATCAATCTCTGTTTTTATCACCATCATCTTCAACATCCTAAAGTTAATATTTCCCTTACCTGAAAATGTATTTACGATAGATACTCACCTCTACACACAGAATAGCTTTATTCTTCATGCATCTGTCTATAAGATTTACATGCCACTTGTCTTGAGTTAACTCCTACCTAAAAATCACATGCTTAACATGAACTGTAATAGTACATGATGACATTATCATACAACAATAGCCCTCCACCAACAGGAGGGAGACACAACTTCCTTGTACAATGACTCCCCTTAAGCACTTGCACTCAAAATAAATTAATGCTTAGATGAGACAAGAAGAAAGTGCAACAGAAGTGGGGAGGACAAGTGGGAAGAAATAAGGGAAGGGAAGGAAAGTGTTAACTTCCAAAACAATATCTCACCTCTAAACACAGAATACCTAGAATTCTCAAATTGAAATGGTGGAGGTACCAGTGCAAATATTAAACCTAGATGACCTCCCTTCAGAAAGCATCCAAAGGGAAAGCACATTGAGTGTGACATCCAATAGCAGGGGCTCCATACGAGCAGCACACCCATGGGAGACAGCATCTCTTCTCAATCAGGATAGGATATACTCTTTGCCTGGAAGGAAATGGAACTAAAAGCAAAAGAATCTCAAGTGTTGCAGGGATGGGCAGAATTTAGCATGATCAACTGAGCACATGCACACAAATGGTCAGTAAGCCAAGAAGTGTAGTGTGGTTAGGGTGCGATCAGATCATACGGTATGCATATCTCACCTCAACTCAACTGGACAGACAGAGATGAGACTAATAAACCTGTCCTGCTACAGGATAAAGGTACACTAAATGTTTTAGGAGTAACCCACACTACATAGACAGTGTCACTACTGCTCTACTTCCCACCATATTGTGCTGTACACAATCAGTGGGGAACGCTCTGAGATTCACCACCCCAGTGGCTAGGAACTGATACGTGGTAAAGATCTCCCATGCTCCATTTGAAGAAGGGGGAGGAGGAGAATTTGCATTGACGAGACACAGAGAAATGACTGGATCCCCATTGGACATCTGCCAGAAAGGTCTTCCACTGGAGACAGTGTAATGGGTGACTACAAAACGTTTTTATTTAAAAGCAGGCAAGAGTGAGCCAAAGAAGTCAGCAGTCACTTCCTTAGTGCCAGCTTTTTCCACAATAGTCCATGGAATGGTACAGTCTGAATCAGGCAACTGAGTATTTTAACCCTAGAATGCCATATTTAAATTTTCAATCATTAACAACAGGTGGTATGAGAAAGTGGATGAATCTGATGCGATAAAATGTGAAAGAACAATCATCTTCCTAAGCAGACAAAGTTTTAGGATGAAAGGTTCAGTCTGGACAGAAGAGAAAGGAAATGTGGTAAAAGTAAGTGCAGGAAGCATTGATAGCATAAACATTTGAACCACAGCAACCACATGCAAGAGAGAGAGAGAGGATAAAATATGTCTTCAGAGAAAGCTGGTATAATGAACATGAAGCCAATGGCTCAAACAGAGCAAATGTAAGAGCATGTAAAACCACATCAAAGTCCCACTAAGACGTGGGAGTAGGATGAAGGGGGTGAGTGAAGAAGGAAGAATCTCAACAAATTGGAGAGGTCAAGGAAATAGGAAAGGCAAAATATTGTGGGTAAAAGCCCAATAACCATGTAATAGTGAAAAATGACAGTCCATGGTTGAACAACCAGAAGAATGGCCCAGGGGAAGGGAGTGGATGATGGACCAATGTCATAAAACTCTCCACTTCCACTGATAGAGTTGAAGGATGACAAGAATAGGATAAGAAAAGGCCTACAAAGTCAGAGAATCCATTCCTGTGATCAGTGCACCAGACAAATTAAGATGAAAGGACAACCTCCCTGGATGAAAGACAGATGTGTTTTTGGAGCAAGAGAGAGCAGGAATGGGGCAGAAGAAGGGGTCTCGATGCCAACTGACAAAGTAAAGAAAATCGTGATTGTGCCAGCCAATGACCCAACCAGGATTGTCACGTAAGATAGTGAGGACACAAGAATGAAGATGAAGAGGAAAATAAGCAAACAGGAAAAGGTACAACCTGTCCTGGCTAAAACCATTGACCACCAGGACCAATGGATAAGGAACTGAGGTCCAGAAAAGGGGAAGCTTGATATTTAGAAGACAGGTGAGGACATCGATGAGAGGTGTGCCCAACTGAGAGCAAACCCCCCAAAAAAAAGCTTGAGGGTTGAGAGACAACTCTATGGATAGAACCCTGTCAGGCTGAGGGAATCAATCTGCCACCAAGTTCAAAGCCCTGGAACATGAGAAGCCATGAGACAAACCCAATGGAAATAAGACCAAAATAGCAGGTCATGCATAAAACCAAAGAGTCTTGGAATGGGTACTCCCCAATAGTTGATATAGAAAGTGACCATGGAATTGTTGGAGTGAATCAGGACCAATCAATACATAAGAAGATGGGAGAAATTGGACATACACAATAGACTATGAAAAGTTCAAGGCATGATGTTGGCATTGTCGGACCACGAAGACAAGTTCTCAGGAGGGGGGGAGACACACACACAATTGAGGACAACTGATCCCAAAAAAGATTCCACTATTCCTACAATTATACTGAAGGATATACATGTGTGTTTCCACCTAAAGGAATGAGTGGCTTGAGGGAAGCCAGAGTTCTCAAAAGCAAAAGTAACTCATGTGCAGGGTGAAAAAGAGAAGCACAAATCTTGGTGAGAAGACATTCTATTGATTGTAGGCAAAGTAGTGAAGGTTGAGCTTATTTGAGACGGGAGTTGAAGAACATGCCCAGAAGTGCCAAATATAGGGTGGATGTGAGAAAAGACATGGAATGGTTGACCAGCAAGCCCAGCCAATCAGCCTCCCACTGAAGAATGCAGGTGTGAGAGAAGGAGTCCTCTCGAAAATGGATGAGGAGACACAAATCATCATGTAATAATGGAACCTCGGCCCCAGCCTGTGAAAAAAGGTGGTTGAATCACTCATGACTCCATCAGAAACATAAGGAGCAGAAGCAATGCCTGAAGGAAGAGCATGGAACTGGAAGACCCAATCTCAATGGATGAAATGAAGAAAACATATGGAGTACAGGGCAATCAAAATGTGTAAAAGAACATCTGAAATGTTGACCTTGGTCATCCACAGTCCAGGTGAAAAGAACCACCAGAGAGAGAGAAAAGAAATCCTCCATACAGAACCAAGAGAGGATAAAAAACCAATGGAGAGACAACAGATCAATAACCAAACACTAGTCCCCAGTCTTCTTGGAGAGCACAAAAAAAAAGGATGAGAGTGATATCCAGGTGTAGGAGTAAATACCCTCATGATGGCGGTCTTAACCAAGACCACATTCTTGAGACACTGAATATATAAAGGTAGACAGAGTGAGGAGGAAAGAAAACAGAAAAGGGAAGTGGAGAAATAGGCTGTGGGGGGAGAACCTGAAGAACCCATCTGTTGAACGAAAATGGAGCCTAAAGGCTGACAAAGACAAACAGATAAGCCCCCCATGTGGCCAGGCTTAATAGGGTAGTCACTGATGAGACAAGCAATGACTCTAACATAAAGAAGTGGAAGGACGAGAAGTAGAAGAAGGCCAAAAAACTGAAAAGGAAGGGGAGACATGGATTCAATAAGCCAAGGAACAGGAACAGAATGGCAAGACTGAGAAAGATGAGAAACCATAGTAAACAATGAGAACTGAATTTTGTGAGTTACCTGAGTCCAATTCCACTTTTTCTTCTAATACTTTTTTTTGATTACCCATTCCCATTTTAGTTGAATTCAATCTCCAACATAGGCATAAATAATTCCTAAATTTCAGCACTTTTTCTGCTATGTAAAATCCTGTCAAGGAGGGAGCTTTTATACCAAGGATTTATTTACCACAGAGTAAAATTAATTTGCTGTTTGTTGAGAAGTTTTTGAATGATGATCGAGTATTTATTAGAAATGTGGTTTTAAGAGAACTATTGCAATAATGCAATTGATGTGATAAGAAAATAACTAATCAATGAATGCTGGGAAGAGACACTCTTTAGGTAAAGTAGATATTGCCCATGATAGGCTTTAGTTTCCCAAAGCTAAAAGGCCCTTTATTTTTCTTATGTCTGTTTATGGGCAGCAAAGTTGCAAATGCATATTGGAGGTTTCAAATTTGGTAGGCTTTGGTTTCCATTCATTTTTGACGGGCTTTTATACTAGTTTATTATAACAAACAAACAAGAAATTTAATCTTTATGGTCTACTCATTCCAAAGGTACACACTACACTCTCCATAAATATCGTACCTATTATATGGCCACTGCATGTCTATTGGCTCAAGATATTTTCAAAGCATTGGTTCAGACTACATGCTGTATTACCATAAAAGGGGTAGGAACAAAGAGCTGTACTAATAAACGCACTATCCGAGAAGAAAAATCATGTGAAAACCAGACATGAAACACTGTATTTTTAAGGATTGATAGTTTCTTAGCAAATATAAACTTATACACACTGGGATGGGAAGAAAAAATATAAAAAACAACAACACATGCATTATTTACATACAGGATTTCTAGAAACTTTGAAGAAACGAAATTTGAAAATCTTTCTCATTTTATTTTGGGAATTACACTAAATATATGTTATTTAATGACAAAATATGAATTCTAAAATTTTTGGAGGTAAAAATTTGTTGAAACACAGTTAGAATTATTATTTCCACATAAATTTTGAAATATGATATGGAGGTGTGCATTCAACACTTAAAAGGTGCTTACTGACCAAGATAGAGTTAAAACTTGAAATGCAGCATCACATCAATGATTCATATTAACATTAGCACATACTAATATCACTCAAGACAATTATTTCTTTCAGTTTCATTTGTTCAACTTCTAAACGTTTTAGGTATTAACTTGATCAGAGAAAGCTACCTACTTTGATCAAAAATAAAAATAAACACAACAATGTTCTTATATGTTTCATCAGTTGAGTACCCTCACTGATATCAATATTTTCAGCTGTAAATATATTAATATTTCCTCCTGACCCCAAATGACCATTCACCTAAGAATTGTATACAACTTTTGTGCACCGCTATCCATTTATTATTTTGTCTAACATTCAGAACGATCAGACAAAATTCCTGGGAGAAGTTTAAAGGCCTAATTTCTACCAACAAAATTCCACCCCAACATGTCTATTTGACCAAAATTAACAAAAATAGTTGCATGGTCTCCAAACAGCAGCTCTTTGAAAATCTTGACAAACAGACAGATAAATAGAAAGACACATTACAATGACATAGGGTAAATGTTCTATTTCCAAATAATACTATTACTAGTATTTTATCATAATTTCTAACATAGGCTAGTGCCGATAAACAGTAGACTAGGCCTACACTACAGTATAACACATGGTCATAACCTATAAATCATGCATCATCACTGCATTGTGCAACTCACTACTTGTAATTCAGTAACGTTAAACGTAGTTAGCTAATGTAGTAGGCCTAAGCCTTTGGTGGGTTTGCACATAAAATTTATCGAGCCAATATTATTGCTATATCATATCTCCTTTCATTTTCTAAAAAATGTAATCTACATATTTACTGATGAAAAAAATGTTCCAATTTCTGGCACATACTGACTTTGATCGACATGTACTTCTGTCTCTGTGAATCTTTGTATAAGCTCTATGGGTTTGTTGTTTAAGTGCTTTGTCAAGTTTAAATCCTTGATACACTGGATCAGAGCCTATGGTATGGTATGACTCAACAAACTGCATGAATATTTTACTGCTGATCAAAGCGAAAACTTCACTCCCTCCACTACATGCATATTATGTGACATATTATTTATAACAAGGAAGTTTCTGTAGGTTGTAAGTCCAGTGTTTGTGATCTCCAATGGTTGTTTCCCTTCACTGAGGTATGCAATACAAATTCAGCTCATGAGGACATGATGGCCAAAGGTATACCGAAGGGTGGCCATGGATTTTTGTGATTTTCTGAGGGCACCATGGCCATTTTGAAAAATATGGTGGCAATTGCTGCCATGAATTTCCTGCCCTGAAACTAGATATTCATATGGTACAATAACTGTAATTTCAATTTCACAAAAAATATTAGATTATTTTTCAAACTAAAAAGATAATTTACAGCATGCTTTAGGTAGGCTTAAAATCATACTTCAGAAAGATTAGTCCTAAAAAAATATTCTTACTACAGTACTTCAGCATTTTCAACTGTTATATTCACATTAAATTTTGTTAACCATGTTATTAGATAACTTCTACTAACTTATATGGTTCACTGAAGTATTTCCTTTCTTTCATTTCTACTTCAGGGATCTCAATTTCCTTGTACAGCATTCCCCATTCAAAAATACCTCGAAAGTGGGTGTCACCACGATACACGGGACGATATTCCAAAGTCTCCTTGTCAATTCCATCAATCACAGGAACTGTCATCACCGTGCTAAAAATGAATAAAAGCAGTTCATTGGTTTAATAAAAGATTTGCAGCAAACAAAACATTATCTTGGTTGATATGCCCATGTATGTAAAATAAACAAGATTTTCAAACAGATGTTCCCAAACTTTTAAATTTCCTGATGAAAAACTTATGGTGATCCATTTACATGCAAAATTTTAGACTTATTTAATTTTACTTATGAATTACAATGATCCTTGCTCAGTTATCTTTTATTTATTTGTTCCTGTAGTTAATATACTTTACAACACATATGGTGAAGCTTTGTACAATATAAATATTAACTTGTAACAAGCCATGAGCTTACAGCTGCAAAACTAAATTAATCTTGTGTATCAATGTAAAACTTTTAACTAGACCAGTTATGAAAAGCCCTTAAATGAATATTTTTATGTTACTAGAACAACCAACAACAGATTAACTACTAAGAAATTTTAAAAAATCCTTAGGTGATAGTTCTAAAAACTATATTTGTTAGTCTTACATAAGATTCATGCTAAGGGCAGACAATTTTGCGGTTATGCTTGTTTATCAGCGCCTCTAGGTTCACAAAAGAAATTTTGTTACTTTTTTCTTCTAGCTCTTTCACCAAAGTAAGCACTTAAGTTTTCATGAAAATAGTCTACTTTACCCATGGTTTATTAAAATAGTAATAGGTTCAAGTTTAATGTAATTTCAAAATAATTAATAATTTTGGAAATTTGTGACTGCTAAAGTTTTTTTTCTTAGAACTAATTTAGGGCTATCATTGGAAAAAAAAAGTTTCTATAAATGATTAGCACATCCTGTTAATGACTGATGAATTATGGATAATATTGCTTCTAAACAAAACCTAAAAACGAACTAACATTTATTTTTTTTACTGAACTAAACTGCGTGGTAGGTGTTTAGGTTAAAACCAGGGTCGCTCAGAAACAAGCGGTCTCTCTTCACCCTGCAAAGTGAATAATCGTGAATGTGGAAAACAGTTTGCAAATCATTTTACTGATTGCTTATATCATTTTATAAGAATGATGATTCATGCCTCATAGTGCTCTTAAACTACTTCCTCCACTATTGATTGTGCTCAGTCTGAAGCCCGTGATTTGACACTAGTGGTCAACACCAAATTTTCGTTGTAACAGACTTCTGAGAATGACTGTGAAGTCTGTCTTAGACCACAAATTTTGACAGACTTTCCATAGACGCTACCATTGCACATGAACATGATCATATTTAAGTAGACCATATGTGTAAAAGTTCACTGGTGCTGCACTGGATGCCTTGACAGATGTGTGGTTGAATTAGGTTGCTGCAGTTCTAGTTTCTTCAACTATCTTTCTCATAAAAACATATGTTGTTTTCAACATGTTGCTAGCTCATAATTTGATGTATGAGCCTTTATCAACTTCAAATCCTTGTTTATTGTCTTGTTAATGGTATCAGGAGGTATGCCCAGCATCAACGAACTCACTTTTTGGGTCAAAGAGTTATCTTTTGTAATCACAGCTTTCACTTCATGGATGAGGATATTGTTCTGTATTAGCTTGGTGATTATGTGATTTCAGAAACCATTAATGTCTCAAACATTGTGCTATTTAAGTTCTTCTGCTTTCCCAATATCTACCAGCTTTAAGTTTACCCTGGCAGTGCTTCACTGTCAATTGGTTAGGAAACCACCAAGCAACCATATACACAGTGTGGTCACAAGTAAATAGACACCACCTTTTCAGAAAAAATTAAAATTTTTCAG